CATGGATATACAGTTATACTGTATACTGTACAATATGTAAGTACTGTATAGTGTTTTAAAATACAAGCAAATGCTATTGTTATGGCTTTTGCTGATATTTTAAAACAATATACTGAGCCGATAAAAAATGTGTTTAGATTTTCTGTAGTTGAGCCTATGAAAATACTGCCCATTGTTTATTCACAGGTTACACATACTGGTACATTATCAACACAAACTGTACATACAGTACTGTAGGACAGAATAAGATTGATACGTTTGACTGTACTGTACATCTGTCCATGACACCATGCTATTTGTACTGTTTATCATATGGAAATAATACTGATTTAGAGTGTCTTCAAAGTTTACCAATAATAACTTTTCACGTTTATGTTAAAATTAGTACCTTGTCTTAATTAACAAAACAATGAATTGCTTTACCGTGATCGAAGGTAAACAGGTGTGTTAAACAGGCCAAAAAAAGCTGTACTCTGGAAGTCTACAGTGTATACAGTATATAGTACGTTTCCATAAGAGCACTAGCAGATTTTACAAGACCAAAATAACACCCACGCAAATGTTTAGCCTTTTTTTAAAAACAGAAACATAAATTGACTTTAGTATGATAATGAATTTTCGTCTTGGTGTAATACATCAGCGCACAATTCATTCCTGTGACTGGTTAAAGCTACACTGGTAGTACCAGACAAAGAATCCACCTCATTCCACGCCGAATAAAGCGTCAGGTAAAATAATAATCATGCGTGGTTTTGTTTCTTCGTTAAACTGTGGATCCAATGACCGTTTGTGTGAGTAACAAATCTGGATTATTTCGGTTCAATAAAAATATGCCAGAGAAAAAAGAAACACGTCAATCATTCGCAGATACAAAAGCATTTGTTTCGACTCGTTTTTCTCGAAAACCAACTCGCTTTGTGATGACTACCATTCAAATAGTGTAAATACATCTAACTGCACGTATAAAAGATGTAAGTATATCTAATTTCATATACATAAACGTGTGATATTGTTTAGCTCTTCAATTTTGTATAAATACAGTATATTAAGAGCAAATCTGCGTATTTATGGCATACGTATTGCCGGTGACAGACTGACACACAGTACCTCTTGAAAAGCAGCACATTGTTCAATACGCAAAAGGGGTACAGTATATTACCGTATATATTCTGAATTCCTTCCTATTTGTCCATCTCGTCTCCAAACATTTCTTCGAAAACGCGTTTTTAAGCAGCTCCTTTTTGTACTTGCTTTGACAAGCGGCTTTTTTTTCTTCAGTAGACCTGGAGGACTCAAATCCCACCCCTAGCAACGAATCAAAAGCAGTCCACTGTAAGAAAGAGGACATATCGTTTTTCCATTCGCCAGTAGCCACACCAATCACTGGAAACTTAACATCTCAGTTCAGTTTGAACACCTGATGTAAGATGCAAAACCTTTTATATACTGTATAGTAAGTTCTTTAAAAACGTTTTCATTATTCCAAATGTCTGCTGAGGCGCGAATTAACAAATACAAAACAAATTATTGGCACATTTTTGGCAACTAGCAAAATTCAATCCAGGCTCTTGGGGCCTGACACAAGTTAGGCGATTTTGAACTTCACCTACAGGTGAAAACAAACTCACAAGCAATTGACAAAATATGCAAAAACGTTATTTTTATCTCCTGGATAAATATTTAGTTCAATTAAGCAACGAAAGCATGAAAAGTAAAGATGCCGTTGCCCATAATTGACTACGTTTCCAGTCGTATTAATAACACTTCACTGCAATCTGCGAAACACTTACTGTAGATGCATCCACGCCAGATTAATGCTACACGTATTTCATGCACTTTTCACGACTAGATGATGATAAATTTATAAAAACACTTTGTGGAAATTCATTACAGGAGTTCAATCTTAAAATGAGCAGTATGTCTTATTTCAGAACATCTCAGAAAAAGTTTGAATTCGTCTCCCGTACAACTGATTTTAAATATTTAATGTAGGGTGTCCGAGCAACCAGAGCAGGGAGAGCTGTAAATATAATGTCTAGAGCTGGCATTACTATCAATTTATCCTTCGAATATAGACCTCTATTCATTTTCCATATTAGAGAACTTTAGAACTTTAGTCGTGAGACCAGTCAATTATGTTACTGTACTGTATGTTACACATGACTGCGAAATTCATCAAGCAACAAGCTGGATAGGTACGCTTTTAGCAATACTTTTAGCTACACTTTTAGCAATGATGAACAAAAACTGGTTTTCAGTCTCCCCTGTTAATGAGATGTGCCCTTGTCGCATTTTTGGCCACATTCAGAATACACGAGCGAGCATTTTCAAAGCCTCTGTGTCACTACTTCTAGAGGACATGTGCTCCCTTTGAATAATGAACGCAAGTTTTAGGAAATGTGAGAGGCTTTTAACACAAATCACATCATATAGTATATCACGTTTGTCAGAACATTATTACAGTATATAGCAGTCAAATGCAAGAGTAAACGAAGGATTTGATGCATTTTCACACAAAATTCAATTGTATTCTCAATTAAGCTTACCGAGATTCCTAATTAACAAGGACATATGGTTTACTTGTAATCATTTTTAACTTTTTGCGTTTTCTTTGCTATGAGAAATTGTTGGTTGTAGGTAGCATCTGTCTGTTAAGTACTCTTTAAAAGTGTCTTTCTTACGGGAATTCCGTACAAGCGATCCGAAACACCTGAATAAAGAAGTCAAGAGGAAGTAGCCGGGAGAAAGCCGCACGCACAAAGCTGACGCATTAAACTGACGAGGGCGTAGGAGACTGTGCTAGATGATCCGTATTGAGTCGCAGGAGACTCTAAAACCAGGGGTCGACTTCAAAAATGATGTTTATTCAGTGGAACAGGTGCACAGCTACAGTACCGTATGGCAATGGCCGAAATTTGACAAAGGTCTTTTCTTACAAGAGGACACTAATGGAAAATAAGCTTATTTAAAAAGTTTTCGTATTCTGGAATTCCATGTTTACGGTTCTGGAAGTTTCATCACTTATGTTTTTTTAATGCGGAGGACGTTCGTCGGTAGAGCATTCCGTGTTCACTAAGCAGGTGCGGGAAAAGAAATGGCAGGTGCCATCGACGTTAGTAGTGGCGTCCCACTCACACCACGCTAAAGCATAGAAGGGAGAGGGCTCAATGACAGTGACTGGTTTTCGATAGTTTGTTAAATTAATTTTTGGTTCTGGGAATGTGCCTCTGAGAAGTAATGTACAGTATGATGAATGCATAGATAACTGTAACAAGTGACTAGTAATCTATTGCATAGATCACTGTAACAAATGACGCTTTAAAAATATGTTCCACAAGTTGGAAGTTGTGGTATAATGATTTACCTTTTAAAAGTAACAATTCAGCGTCACCGGATATAAAACAGAGGTATGTTATATAAATAAGGGCAGCATGGTTAGATTAAAGCGCAAAACAAACAGAATATTTTGGAAACAAACACGCAAATAAAATAGTTTGAAATCACAAAGGCCCAGAAGTGCATAACGCAAGAAAAGTGCTCTTTTGAGTGCTCGTCTGGAAATGTACAGTAGGTGGTTTTTACCATAGATGTAATTTCGGAATGTAAACGCCTGAGGGCGTTACACGCTCAGTAATGATTATGACAAGGAAAATCCTAAAGTGCTCCAATAAACACCGGATTAAATGAAAAAAAAAAAACTAATTTAAAACAATCTAAATCCGTCTGATGTTGCCCAATTTTAATAGCTTTTCTTTAGAGTCGCAAGCCCTCAGAGAAATCCATGTGTTAACTGTTTGAAAACTGCGATAAAAACATCACTAGCTAACAACTGTGGTAAACAGTACCCTTGACTCCACAGATGGGCTTGGTCAAGAGCGATAATCTAACAGTAATTTGTGGTTGGCAGTCACCAGAGGGTTAATAGACTCTATTCTCCCAGAGAGATAATACATGATGTCTCCACACGTGATGATTAACTATTCAAATTCCAATATATTTTTTCCATGATGATGCTGCATCTGCTACAGTTATTTACCATCTTGAGAAAAATACACAATATTGAACTTGTAGCGAACAGAAAAGCACTTATTTACTTTGTAATTGTATATGAATGTTCAAAAGCATCTCCACTGTGAATCATTAATACATACAGTATAATTAACAGAAATTGATCATGGCAGACATGTACATGACCACTTGTATTTATTCTACTTCAGTCCCAATTTAGTTTAGGTCTGCCTAAATCACTGTTTTTTTAAAGATTAGGAACACTTGAAAGTTATTGTTCAATTAAGTAAGAAATGTGTTCAATTAAGGGAACTGGTTCTTAAGAGCTGAGGGCTATCAGACCTGTGTTCTAAATGATGTCTAAATTATTTTATTTAAGCAATCAACCCTTAAATTTAGCATAATTTAAATGACCAATATAGATCTTTAGAAATTGAGGTTACCCATAAAACCTACTGGACCAGGGCTAGAGACCTAGTCCTTTGATTTTTAAGTCAATGTTGAGGATAAATAATGAAAGACTGATCATTATTTGTATGGACAGATTTCAAAGTTCTAAAATTGAATGCACAGAGCCACATCTTTGAGAAAACATAATGCCAGGACCTCAGTTGTTAAAATTTTAATTACTTGCAGTAACTGGTCACATTAACCATCTGCTGCAGATGCCCATCAGGTGACAGATTAAAGAGACCCATACAAAAATTCTAGTCCTCCAGGACCAGATTTCTGGCAATTCTGCAGTATTAATACATTGCATTTCCAACCCATCCAATCCACCTGTTTTCTAACCAATTCAAGGTTACAGGGGAACTGGAGCCTGTCTTGGCAAGCAAGGTGAGCAAGGCAGGGTATACCCTGGACAGGTAATCAGTCCATTGCAGGACAGACACATAAATGTACAGTACACATTCACACCAGGGCCAGTTTTCTCAAAAGACAATTCACCCATCAGTATGTTTTTGGACCGTGGGAGGACGTCTATGTGAACATGGAAGAACATACAAACTCCACGCAGATAGTGCCTCAGATCTGTAACTCTGGTCCTGGAATAATTTGCTTAATAATCAAAAGTGTCAGAAAGAGATTTGTGTGAGGAATGCTGTAATTGTGCTTCTTCAAGGGAACTGAAGATTTTCTACTTCATTCTGGATTTTTTCTGAGATTTCCTTTGCCAGCAACTGCTGTCACATTATTCAAGAGAACCTGGTTCAGAGGAAATAAAAAAAGCTCATAGTCATATTTCACAGATATCACTTATTCCTTACAAATCAACACTTTCTTAGAGAGGGGTTCTTCAGATGATATGCAGCTTGTGCTTGATGGCAGACCCTCATATTAGAACGAACTGTTACCAAAAAGCACTTTAGGGCACATAGAAAAGTCTCAGTTTTGACCTTAAGAAGAAATTCAAGACACGGTGTGTTCTCTTTCATGAGACAATGTTCAACATTTTCATGTGCTTTTTTACAGGCTCAACAATTGATTTAGTTAATCAATAGCCAGATCAATGTGAATCAATAGTAAATTATAGATGAAATATATATTATTTAAGCAGTGAAAGATTGTCACTTTGTAGTGCGGGTGAAATAATGCAATAAAATACAATCATTTAGAGATTAGTTTTATGTATTTTCTATGAAGGTCTTAACAAGAAGGCTAGTGTTCAATTTTTATTATGATATTTTTCACAATGTTATTTTACATTTAGTTATTTAGCTTTCAATGTTCATATAGGTGTTTCAGTGAGGGTTTGTAGAAGTCTCCTGCTTTCTAAAAATAGTATGAACTAATAGAAAACAATGACAAAATGGGAAAAGAAAATAAAGGGTTGCAGAATACTGTAATTACACAGTAGATTACATCAAATAATATTTTAAAAATATATTGACTCTTAGGAATACAAGTGTTCTTTCTGGAATCTGAGGTACCAGGAGCTCTAAGGAGGGAACTGCATATAGGTCAATTTTATCATTTATTCTGAGAACACTGTAAATTCAGGTTTGGAGATTTCTGTTTCAGTTTATTGTAAATTGTTAATCTCTCTAACTCTTAAAAACTGCCTGATTTTCCATTAGATAATTAATGATATAGAAAGAACATTTTGTATGATAAAAATTGTTCACATACAAAAAAAGTTCCGTAACATTAAATTACATAGGTGCAAAATATATTAGACTATAATCTGCACTGGGTTTTGAGAAACAATATGTAAACAGAAGAGGTGGAAGAGGGTACTGAAAGCATTTCCTCAGGAACTCCTTCAATGGATTAAAATGCATTATACCAACAGTCTTTCACTATGGACAGAGAAAAGGGGTTTATAATGAAACTTTAGGAAAGAGACAGATCCCAGCTAGATCCAATCACTGGTTCGCTAGGGGGCCTCAAATAAGTATGGGACCTTCCATCCCAGCATTCCATGCACAGACACACCTCCACCAACCCAATGAAGGCTGCGATACTTTGCCTATTTTCTAGGGAGTTTGGGACTATCATCCTTCAAGCCAAGACTCAAGGTTAAAGCACAAATACATCCGCAAATGCCTTTTTTTCTTTTTCTCTCAGTTAGGTACTGTACATTGATTGGGGTTTCTCTAAAACTCCTGAGCTGTTGGCTGCATTTTTGAAACCCAATCACAACAAAAACAGGTCACTATTAATTCTTATTTTTTGTCAATCATTTTATAAAGCAGGTTACCTGTAGGTAAATCTCCATTGTAAAAGCCTTGAAAAAAGAGAACTGCGAACCATTAATCAAAATAAAAGAACAATGTAAACAAGAAAACACACACAAAAAAACTGCATTGGGAAAATACTATTTTCATGGAAAAGCAAATATTTTGGGAGATTTTTTCAGTGCTGGTGGATTGGCATGACCTAAGTTATTAGGAATTCCACAGGTAAAGGATTCCAACAAACTGCAAAATAGGCAAAGAATTTATAATTCATTTAAAAAAACAAACAGAAACAACCTGGAGCCTAAATAATTCACACTTGTAAAGATGACAAGTATATCCATCTCAGGCAATTGTTGGGCTTTCAAAACCATAGTTTGAGTCACACGACATGTTTGCTTGTACAAATGAAGCACTTTGTCTTTTATTTACTGTACATTCGTCTAGATACTGTACACATTCTAAAATGTAAAACGTTTTCAGACTGTACACAATCTGAAATAGAACAAGTTTTGGTTTTTAGATGAGAGTCCCTCACATGTGGAGAATGCTCAAGATTTTCCTTCAAGGGGACACCCCCTGCCTTTTTTAAAAAAAACAACAATTCATACAAAACCTTGCTTGTAAACAATACAGTCATTAGTCTGTTGTTGAGTCTCAGAAGCACTGAAAATGAAACAATGAAATGCACCTCCTCTCCACAATTATATACATTTTCGGCACTCGGTTAATGTCTGCCTGGAGTGGACGGTATCAAATTATAATGGGAAAGGTCTTCATCATCGATGAAATTCACACAGAGAGTGTCAGGGGTGCCAGTTGAAAAGTGAGCCTGCTGTCTGTATAATTCTGCAGGCATGCAAGGAAAAGTAATCCTTGGAAAACAATATTGTTGGTTCATTCTTAAGGACTATGATAATACTCCTTACTCATAATCCATACTTGGCATTCATCTCCCCAATAGAGATCTGCTGTAGGAGTCCTTGGTGGTAGTAGGGTTGTTTGCAGGGATCCATGTATATGACAGAGGTGGTCAGGCTCTTCCTGTCCTTTTTGTGTTCAGCATTTCTCTGCCACCTGCAGAGCAACACTTCCACTTGCTCTCTGAAGAAGCTGGTGGTGAGTGTGTAGAGGATGGGATTCAGGGCGCTGTTGATGGGCAGAATGAATATCACCACCCACGAGGTTATGGTTCCTGTGAGAACACATACATAGAACTGTCACAGATAATTTATGGAAGCCCAAGGCTGACATCCAATGAAATAAAAATAAATCACGCCGGTATGTCACTTTAATATGCAATAATTAATACCATAATGTATTTGTAATATACTGCGTCAATGCAAAGCACTAGCTATTACGTGAACTGTAGAAAGCTTTTTTTGTTTGTGTGTGAGAGGAAGAAGCTGCAGAATTATTTTAAAAGCCCTTCAAGACTGATTCTCCACTAAATAATCCTGATACCCTTAGCCCCACAACTTGTAAATAAGCGCATTTTGCAGTATTCTCACAATGGCTCCGCAGAACTAATTTAAACATTTACTGTACAGTCCTACTTTCAAATGTCACATATGAGGAATGTGTGGCTACAACTATATACTGTATATAACATTAATATAATGTAGATATTAAACAAACAGTTAGGTACTGTACCTTGCTTGTTCAGTTAAAAAATCTAAAATTGTCTTTCATTTTGACAAATCCCTCAAAAAACATTTACAGGAAGACAAATAGTAACCTTTTCTTCCACATTATTTTTTCCCATTTTAAATGAATTAAAACATCCTGTCATATGGCCAGTTTTTCTTGACAGGCTAGTCTTTTTTCTAGTATTGCGCATCCTGTAATCAAACTCCAGAACAGATGTTCCATTGTGGGAAAATATCTACCAAAAAATGCGGGAATGATGTCAGGCGTCTACCAGAGGTTTTTTGTGTTTGTTTCCTAATAAATAATGGGATTAGGGAGGACATGTTCATTTTCCTTCAAGCTGGAAGAAATGTGCAAAGATGTACTATAAATGGTCTGGAAAAAAATGTAAATCTTTCCACCCTCTTCTTATCTTTCTAGCTTCTTCCTGGTCTTTGAAATTGTGGGGAGCTTTCTTGTGGAACAGAAAGACCCAGTTGTCAACAGGAAGAGAAAGAGCTTTAAGCCCTGCAAGGCTTTTATCTGGAAAGGCCTGACACCAAATCGCTGTCTCTAAGAATTCCTTATATTTCAAACTGTGTGATGCTTCACAGAAATCACTGCTGAGATGGGATTTTTTAACAATGGCATGATTTTAAAAATCTGCATTGATTTAGTTGTTGTTTTTCAGATAAACACTGGAGATTCTGTCTCACTATATTACATTTCAGGCGGTTCAAAATCTAAAGACAAAGTCCTGTTTGAGAAAGGATCATCTCATAAAGATAATATAGGTGACAGGTACTGTATATACTGTACTGTTGATTTATGGTTTGTTTGTGGAGGAATGTCTTACAGAAAATGTGTTGGACACTTGTTATACCATTTTAATGAAGCTTTGTATTACGGTGTTACTCAAAAGTGACTTTTGGGCATAAACGGACCAGTCCGGTTAATTTAGCAAACACCCAGTTCAGCCTCAACGCTGGTACAGTATACTGTATGTGAAGCAGTAACTTGAATGTGTGGTATCTTAGGACAATGTCACTGTTTGCTGTTGGAAATAAAATAATGCTCTCTTTGATCGGTTCAGAAAACCTAAAATAGTCTTCCTTTCTGTCAACTTATTATCTTATAAACAATTATAGGAAATGGTTGTACATTTGTCAAGGTGAAAAAATGCAATTTAATAATTTATTTACACTACTTTGTGTACAAATTCCCAGTGAGGAAAGGCTGTTGCTAGTGGGAGTCTGCTTGTACTGATACAAAGAATTGAGTACATTAATCAAATGCTTGTTATGTGATTACTAGGATTACACTTTCCCTGAGGGCATTAAGAATGACTGCTTTTAATTCACAATAATTCAGCCTTTTGACTGAATAATGGCTGCTTTCCTATACGCACTTAACTCTTTTCCAATGCTTTTAAAATCCATTATATTTAATTGAGCTGGATTCGACATGAGAAACATTATTGTGGTTGACATATTTCAGGAAGATGCAGGCATTTGTACTGCACATGCACAAGTATTTTTTTTTTGTGGCTGCTTTTTAGCATGAAGCTCCCTGCAATGTAAATCACCCAATGGTACTTTATTCAGCCACATTACTCATGCTGCATATTCAGCTATATAACACATTCACGAATCCCAAGGCAAGACAAAGTGTATTGGACTCCATATTTCATAGGTCATACTGCCCTATGTTTTCATTTCCTCTCAGGTACTACATTTATCACATTATTTAAGTATTAAAAAAAACATTTTTTTGGGAAAGTTTTATAACTGCCAACCATAAAATGACATAATTGTTTCCTAAATAGCACAAAATTAAATGTCAATTGTAACAGATTGAGAATATAACTAGATTTGTGTAGCTACTATACACCTAAAATGAAATAGATGGTTCTTCCTGTGAATAAATAGCACTGCATTTTATTGCTCTCTATATCAGAGCACTTAAGGTCACACGTGTGGTGAGAAATACTGCGAGCGGTTTGATTAATCGGCCAGGTTTCATCTGAACTACCTCAGAGTGCACTCTCTGGAGGAGCAGAAGGAGTTTTACTGACCTGGAATCTCCACCTTCAACAGAGACAGGAGTTTCACTAGGAAAATAGGAATCCAACAGAGGGCGTCAGAGAACACAATGAAAAAAAATCTGTTGGCAACCGCTACGTCCTTGTGGAGGCGACTCCGTGTGTCTGTGGTGTTCAGGCCCGTCGTGTAGATGGAGTAGAACATGCTTGTGTAGGAGAAGACTATGATGAGGAAGGCAACCAGGTTGAGCCCTAAATAGACAGGAGGAAGAGCAACATGAGGTCCCTGCTGGTCTTGACTGACTTTTACTCTCTGGTTTTAAAGGAATGCAGGAACCATGTATTTTACACAAAGCTCTATGTACAAAAATCCTCCAATCAATCCAAACTGTTTATCCTGGTAGTGGTCACAAAGTACACAAAAATACCAAAGTGCAAAATAGGACTGAAAGTTTCAAAGAAAAAAATCAAGGCAAAGATTTGTGAACACCTGGTTATCTAACTATAAAGCTAGATATCATATTTATTTACATATTAAATGTCTTCATTTTAGGGCTTCATTTATTGCTTTATTCAAGCACAATGCAATTACCACATGCTGTACAGTTTCATTCAGAAAATGAAATAATAGAGGCTTTTAGTCCCATCTCTGTTTTCCAGTTAAAGAGACTTCAGTAAATTAATCCTTCTGATGGCTGTTATCTTTTCCCCCATTATACCACCCAGCAAGCAGGTAGACTATTGTTCAGTTTTGAAATTTTTCTATCATTAATATGAAAGGCAGTGTTAGGTGGTAGAAACCAATTTTAAAGACAGCTTTTGGTTTTTAATTTCTATTCTAATCAAATTGAAAAAGTTTTAAGTTCTACTTTCACCATAAAATGATTTTTTATCTCTTTATACAGTATGCAGTATATCAAGTTTATATAATTAATTACTGTTTCATCTGCCCATGCACAGTCCATGCAATTTGCTTCAAACTGCAGGAGTGCTATTGTAAGTAGAATTACTTCAAATTCCATGTAAATACAGACAAGGAAAACAATTGATTCTTTATGCAAATTAAATTAAATATACAATTCTGCCCGTGACTTGGACCTGATTTCAAAACATCATATTTTGCATTACTGAAAGAAAATCTGTTCGAGGACTAATTTTATTTGGGCCAGTAATGGTGTGACACAATTGTCAGACCATAGAAATCCTAGCTAGTGTTCTGCAAAAAGTATAAAACAGTACTGAAAGTTTTTACAGTGTTTTTGCAAAAGATGGTCAGAAAAAGGTGGAATTTTAAAAATGTAGTCATTTGGTTTGGTGTTTCCCTACATAATGCTGGTGTATCCTTTTGGCACTTATGCTGCCTGCGGGGCAAACACTTTCATTATAATCACCAAAGCAATTGTAGTTAAGAACCACGAAGTCACTTTACACCACACAAAGAAACTGTGGTAGGTAAAGCACATTTAAAACATTTTTACCTGCTTCAACTGACATTATTTATTCACCTGTTTAGGATCATACTCACCCAGGAATATTCCTGTAGAATACCCTTTGGCTGTAGGCTTTTCCAGACTGTCTAAATGAAGAGGGAAACAGACCCCATTCCGACCATAATAGTTGCCAAACAGATCCTCATTCAGCAGAGGGACTGCAGCAATGAAAAACCCAATGAGCCATATGGATGCCAGCATGATCAGAGTCTGGCATTTTCCCGGGCGAGTGTTGTTGAAAGGGAAGACAATGACTAAGTACTTCTCCAGCGTCAGGTACGTTAGGAGCATCACAGACACCTCAGAGGAGAGCATAGCCAAAAATCCTATTGTGCGGCACTCAAGGCTTTCCATCCACTGCTCAGCATTTCGATTGTACTCTCCCCTGAATTTCAGGTCGAATACCCCAACAAAGAATAGATATACTCCCATCAAGCAGTCAGCACCTGCAAGTCAGTTTAAAACAATTCAGTATTTTGCCGTATGAAAAGCAAATCCAATAATATGTATTAGAAGAAGACTGTATATTGTAAGAGCTGCAAAGTGTTATATCAATTAATGTTTTTAGTATGCTCTTTTTTCTTCAATGTTCCTAACATCACTGCAAACCGATTTATCAAAGAGCTGTGCAGCATTTTTTTTAGAAATAATTTTGCCAAAGAATTGTTTATACCGGAGAGTGGTAGCAAGTCCTATCGTCCGACGCTTATTTCCAAAATTTGTAAAGAAAATGAATCTTGAAAATAATGTGGAACTTGCAATGAGCCATTTCCTGGCTGCAATGTCAGCTGCTACGTACTTATCAGTGACCCTTTGAAATGGCAAAGAGAGAACTGTTTTTGCACAGGGTTTGCATTTTAGTTATCCAATATATTCTAGCAGCGCTAGGTAATGAGCTACCGCTCACACTTTAAACATTTTCGTTTCAAAGAGGTATGTTTATAGGCAACTAGTGTCACAGTTGTTTCTAATATTACTCTTGCTCACATATTAATACTTGCTGTTTGTCTCCCTGCATGTTTTTAGTTCCCCTCCTTCATTCTAGCTTCACTACTGCTTCCTGTCTCCCTGGTTCATTCCTTGCGAAGGGGGTTGTGACAGTGCTGATCTTCAACCAGCACTGTCATTTTCTCAGCCAGATGACTTAATGCCAATGAATTAAGTACATGTGCCATCCTTTATATTCATCAGCTTATTTCTTCATTTCTTCAAGTTCAGGTAGGTAGCTGCGTCAGCATGCGTAGGCTGCAAAGGAACAAGTAATAGGTTTATTCCATGCTGAAAAGAGAAGAAAGAAAACGCAATGTTTCGGCCGTGGAGCCTTCTTCAGGTGAGGGTGCTCACACCTGAAGAAGGCTCCACGGCTGAAACGTTGTGTTTTCTTTCTTCTCTTTTCAGCTTGGAATAAACCTTTTACTTGTTACTTGAAAGAATGTTGTAGTTTGTGTATTTCATCATTTATTCAATTCAATTTAGTGGAACAGAAGAGACACATTTTCTATAGTAATGACAAGTACTTACAGCACAAAACCTTAATGCACATGGCGTGGAGGTTGTTCTCAGCTCTTATCAGGGTCCTCATGCAGATGACAAAGACATTGCCAAAGCAGGTGATGAAAGCGATGACCCAGACAGAAACTCTGAGGATAATATTTGCTAGAAGGTCCTCAAAGGAAGAAATCCCATCAGAATTCGGCTTGCACATCCGTACATGAGGGGCTCTGGAGCAGTACTGAAACTCTTTAAAATATCTGAAACACATATAATAATGAGAAGCAACATAACCCTTAACTGAACTAGAAATAAATGAAGAACAATTAAAGGTGAGGTTTGTCATTCATTCTAGCAATGTTCTTTTAGGTTAAAAACCTGACTATGGATCAGATGCAATCTGTGCCAAATAAGCTTTTATCAGTTCTCTAATACCTCCACTGCAATGCATTAAACACTTTTCCGTGTATTCACAAACACAGATTTAAAGATTTTTATATTCAAGCTGCTCCTGGAGCTTTCTCAAACATATAATCTCATACTGTATATTTCTATTTAAGCTGTTCTTGGAGCTTTCTCAAACATATAATCTCATATATTTCGCTTAACTTGTCTGGTTAAAGTAATATTTTACACTATACCTACACCGTTAAAAACCTCTGAGAAAAAAATTCTGTTTAAGGGGAACCAATTTTTAAATCTAACTATCCACTGAAATCACACTTTTAATCAATGAATTAAAAGCAACTCTCCTCATGGTCTGAGATTTTCTAAACCCCTCAGGAAGATGTCAGTACATACATGTGAGATAGGTTCCTCATGGGCTGGAACATTCTGCTGTGTATGTTTGGGATTTCTATGCCCTCCATTACTCTGAGGAATAAGCACAATTTAAAATTAATGACTTGCCACTGCGTGACGGAAATTCATCACCTCCCTGCTAAGTAGTGCAGTGCCTTATTGGGCACAACCGTTCTTTGCAAAAGTAAAAAGTAAAAAAATGCAAGGACATCTTTACTCCTCTTATAAAATATAAAACTTGTTTTGCTTGCAAGCAGATTTGTTGCTTTCTCCAAAAGAAAATTACATGCTACATCACATTGAATAAACACATTATACTGGAGCCTCTAACACTTACATCACATTAACTTCTGAGACAGCCTCCAGGTTTGCTACATCATTTCTACAGATTTTAAAAAAATACGCTAATAGCATAAAATGCGCAGCTACAGTATTACATTTTTGTTTCTTGATATACAGTACAACATAACAGTTGCATTTTGGCACCTACTGGTTATTAGTAACACCTACTGTACATTTTGTCTGAAACAAAAAATAATTACTGTCAGTTAATATGAACATATAAAGATAATGTAATTTTTTTACTTACAAGGATTTGAGCTGGTAAAGATGATCAAACTGACCAAGATGTATGTGACTGAGTGGATTATGTGACATATTTCTGTAATGTTAAAAAAAAAATGGTTTTACTGCTATTACCATATTTTTCTAAGCCATATTTTGGTTTAGAAAAAAAAACTAAGAAGCATTCCTGTTTAAAAAAAACGCTAAAGCCAAAATAATTTGTAGAATAATTTGTTCAGTTATGTGGAAGTATGTAGATGTCTTTCCTGAATTCCTCTAAAATTCTTTGGGCTGGTCACATAGGAGGCACCGTGTAAGAAATACTGAAATGGTATTGCTTCACTGCCAAAACTGAATGGAAACTGGAAGCTAAGTAGATATTTTCATTCTGAAAAAGGTCAACATGCTGTGTCTCGCAAAACTAGTGTTGACAAATTTGGATGAACACCCATACTTACATATCACATTCTATTCCTCTCTCTGTTAATGTTAGATGGCAATCCCCAAAAACTGGCAGTTGATTTCATTTTATTTTCGGTGTACCAACCTAAATAATGCTAATGCTAATTTGTACTGTACTTACATTGAATAAAAAGAATTAAAGAAGGTAGTTTGCTTTTTCTTTGAATATACCACAGTTTATATACAGTATACAGTACACACATTTCCAATTAATAAATATGTATGTAACACACAGACCTGAGACATAGCTTATGAAACTTACAGTTTCTGTAGGGATTTTAAGTCCTTATAGATATTGTATGGTAGTTCTGTAATCCTATTGCTTGATATATCTCTGGATAATAAAGGAAAGAAGATAAACAGGTACAGCATGAGAAACACTTAACAAAAAAAAACAGAAATCCTTTATGGAAGTTTCAAACACCTTTTGGGGATTTGCAAGGGACTATTTCAAGAGCAAACGCAAATTTGCTAATTTTCCACTTCACCTGTCCAGTAAGTTTAGATGTATTGGTAGCCTTCATAATGATTAAAGTTCTGTCTAAAAGCATATGCAGTTCTGATATGCTGATCGTTACATTATACAGTATAAGAAGAATAAGAATTAAACAGAATAAACAATAACTATATATAGCTCATTGAATAATAAAATAATCCTATTCCTGATTTTCTGATATAAAATAACACAAAACAACAGTTTTCAAGAACGGAAGCAGTCAAAAAACATCTTCCGTCAACAGCAGATTTTCATTCTAATACAACAGCTTTCCAATGCATTATCGAAAAAGTGAGTATTTACAGTTCTTCGAGTCTTCTGAGTGGCTGGAATGTATTTTCTTGAAGAAATTCTATTTTATTGCCATGTAGTGATCTGTAAAATAAAATCACATGAATTTGACTTAGTACAGTAGTTAGTAGAAATTACATTAGGTACAGTACTAATGCTGCTTTTCAGTAAATCTTACAGAAATATTACAAACTGAAAACTTAGAAAAGTTAGTGTTTCCCAAACACTTTCAGTGCTTTCAGAAGTAATTAGGATTTTCAGAGACCCAGTAAAGAAAAATATAAAATGGATCAGGCAATTAATTTAAGATGTTGTGAGAAACTGCAGTTTCATCGTACGATATTTGTTTTTTTAAGTTTATCGCATGCACATTACTGTACAAAATTTCTGCACTGTGAACTTATTTGACAGTTAACCAGCAAAGAGAAACAAACAAGACACTTGATAACCATTATACAAACAGAAAAATAGGAAAATGTTTCCTTTCATGCTTCAAAATACAAACGTGTTTCAACGCTGATGCTCTGATTGACGTGTTTGAATTAGTAATGACACTATCTGTGAGGCTCATGTATTTGGTTAATTATCTGCTTTGCTGGTACTGGTTCAGAAAGACTGAAGTGGAACTAACATAAAACTTCTCTCCAGTCTAGTAACTCACAGGCAGCATCTGATTAATGGCAACCTACAGTAGTTCAGTGTGATATACAAGAAAGTTTAACCTTTTAACCCCTGTTGTTTTAAAATACAGATTTTTAAGTGCATTTTCACAGTACACTGAGTTGACATTCCAAAATACACTGAAGACTAGAATGAATTGCTAACCTGGTATAAAAGGAAAAAAAAAACTATAGCATCTGGCCTCATTTGGAAACATGATCCATCATTTAACTTCATTTCGAAACATTGCTGTTGGAAATGCTCTGTAAGTATTTTCCAAAAATATTTTTTCCTGTCATGTTACTGTACATGAAGGACACAGGGAAGAATGTGGAACAGAAGATTTAGTCTTTTAACACACCTAAAGTGGAGAGCTCAACTGAATCTTGTTTATAAAGTATTAACAACAATAAGACAAAATGGGGCTTTGAAGATTTTAGAAATGCGGAAAGCACAGTTTACCTAAGAGGACAGTCAAAGGGTACAGGTACTCAATTCTACAACAGTTTGTGAAGATAAATATTTTAACATTGTTATCTCCACAAGAGATCCTGGGTGTCTTTTTCTGAAACTTAAAGTAACAAATTCCATATTATAAAAGCTGCCTAAAAAATCTTAGTTTGCAGTTTGGCAAATTTCCTTCTTTTTAAAAAGATTACAACCCACCCCCTTTTTAACTGACTGAATTCTTATTTTAAAATCATATTATGTTCAAAATAAAACATAATACAGTACCACTAACCCTTTGGATTAAGCTTCGAGTGGGTTGAAAAAGGTTTAAGAAGTGTTGTATTTCAATGTCATTTTTAAGCTGCTTAGTTAATTTTAATCTTAGTCGATCTAATTTTAAAACTGAAGGTGAAACACAGCACCATAACAGAATTGTTTTCTAAAAAAAAAATAACCTATACAGTACCTGTTTTAAGGTGAATTACAAACAATTCCAATATGATGCCTATAAACAGGGTATAATCTCAGTGTCTGTCCTGATACTGTATATACAGTAGATATATTTTTATTTATGGTACTGTAAGAACAGATGTCTACTCACAAAACAGTAAGTTCATTGCACATCATGAGCGTGGAAAAATTGATCGTTTTGACATTGTTCCCCGAAAAGTCCCTAGAATACAAAGAAAAGCAGAGATAAGAACTTTAAAGATGCGGCAAACCAGCACAGATACTATTTTGAAATATTACCAGAACAAAATGAAGCCAAGGTGCATGAATGTGAGTGCCAGATTGTGCCGAGACTAAATTAAGGTCTCATTCAATCCACCCAGTCCTTCAGTTCCTTCGGTCTTTCTTTGGGAGATGCTGCAGCACCTAAGAGCTCGCTTTCAAACAAGCCCAACAATGGGCCAGTGCCAACGTGTCTGCACAACCTGTTCTTGAAGAACACAATCGAGACAATAATAAGGGTGGCAGGGTTGCATTTTCAAAGAGCTCCTGTCCTGAGAGGTTTGAGTGACATGTTCTTCCTTCCTCAGTTGCTAGCTGAACAAGAAATGTCTGTTCCTGTACGAACAAACATTAATATGAAAAGACTAGTGTAGCAAAGACAAGTCATTGGTAACATTTCAGAACATGAGGTACCTGGAAGGCATGTATTACTGTGTAGGATTTCCCTACACAATTTGTACGGCCTACGAAGGAGGGAAACACTAGTAACGAACGAAAAACGAGCTGAAACAACATGCTTGCGATCGACTCTAGGTATGTATATTCATGTAGACACAAGGCTTACTAGGGGTGGCATAGCATAATTCTTTGGCCTCCCGACTAACAGGCTGTTAGTTTGGGGACTGCAGACACTGCTGTTGTACCTGGAGTGCAGTACGGTATTTTTCCCCAGTTGACCCAGTCCATCTAGCTGTATAAGTTAGGACCAGCATTGCTGGGGGGTGATTCCTGCGACAGACTGGTGTCCCATCCAGTGGGGAATGGGGAAGGGGTTGGGGGAGTCACGTGCTCCAGGAAACGGAATGGAAACTGGGATGAGCTCTGACCCAATGAGCTGGGCTTCTGGTATTGACTCTACTTCTTAATACAGAAGAATTACACCATGTCTGCTAATGTGTAGGAAAACATTTCAATTGGAACATTACAACTTATTTAAAATGTTCATAAGCCATCAAATATAACTTAATATGAATTAATACTATATGCCTTTTGATTTTAATTTTGTTCCTACCAGAGGAAAATTATTTAACTGTTACCTGATTAATAGAGTCAAAAGTCTCTTTTTACAGTTGGAATATCATATAATTTTTTGAGTCATTGAGGAATTTGGATCCTTAAATCAAGCTTTATTCTTTGGGTGGTTATAGTTTCCGCCTCACTCTTCCTTACTGGTTGGCCTTATAATAGCAGTATTACTTTAAAATGAGTGCTTTCCTTCTCATTTGGTCATAAACACACATGTGGCATTTAAAATAAGGAGGTACACTTTATAATCTAAGTAAATTGATGCAGTTTCATTGGACTACATTTTATGATTCAATTCAATTGGCAGAGACATACAGTATACTGTATGCCTGGGAAGGCTGCCTGAATCAATACACATACTGTATATCTAAAGTACTCTTAAAACTCTCACCTGTTTTATTGCAGATGGTTGACATGATTTTTTGGAACTTTGGGAAAACATAACACAGCTAAGAAACTATAAAACACATTGCTTATATCAAAGCTGTTTCACTTCATTATGTTACAAATCACTTCTGCCCTGGGGCTGAAATTGTGCCAGGTAGATGACAGCACATGTTGTTATCAAATTCCAGCATTACTACAGCATTTTAAAGTGTGCTGCCCATTTGTATGTAGATCACATGAAATTATCAATATCTTTGTGCACTCTTTTGTTTCTCTCTTTATTCAAGAAAAAATACTTCTCATAATGTAGACACCAGTTATAATTAAATTTAGTGAGTCCTGGATTTTGTTTTGGCTATTTCTGATTTTCTGTCTTCCTGGTGTATTATGGGTGTCCAGCATTATTATTCTTGACAGATGTTTCTGGACAGATTGTTATTTGCAGTGAACACAAGCTGACAGTGCAAAAATAAAACAACAAAAAAGATTAATCAAATGTCAAGGAAGGGAAAAGATCCAGGATGATGATTATCACAGTGGTACGGGTCTGAGTGTGTAGTTCCTGGCATTCCAGCGCTGGGAAGTACTTTCAGGAATTATGTTTGTTGTAATAATTAATTTACAGTACATTTGCAAACAGCCAAAACAGAAAAACAACATACCTGCTAATTCTCCCTATTTAGAGCAGGTTTGCTGTATGCTTCACCCCAGATTCTACAGTACTTATATTGTGACACTATGTTTATTTGTGAACCTCGACATTGAAGTTGTATGCCTTTAACTTCTCAATATATATTCGTACCTTCTCATAAATTGAAAGAGACTTAAGTTTAAAAACCTTTACTGAAAACAAAGACTACTTATTGACATTGCTAAGTGACACCCCTTATTTAAAAAGGATGTAGCTGATGTGAAATGTTAAAAATGTATAGCAACATCAAAAGATAAGGAAAATGCATAACATTTCAAGTGCTGCTCTTAAATGTCAGTTCATAAAGGCCCCTGCAAGTGAAAAGCTGTCTTTTCTTACTGTATTGTGACACCTAGAATTCTGGAACTGGCAACATCTGCCTCGGTAGTTAATCCACATGTCAGGGTTCTCAGCTGTAGTGAATTGCAAAATGCCATACACCTCAAAATGCTAAAAAAAAACATTCAAGCTAATTAGCTACAAAGCAGCCAATGTTGTACAGTATACTTACAGCCAGTTAAGAAGCATCATCTCTGAGCACAGTTTTGCTTTGGGAAGCTGCTCCAGTGAGTTATTTACCATGGACCTGCAAAACCGGGAGAACCCATTTAAATCTGCTTAATCCCTGAATATAGAATGAAGAAAAAAAGGCAGCCTGCCTGCTCCCTGCTGTGTTTTAGCAACTGTGACAGATGTAGTTCCATCCCTGCCAGGATTCGATCACAGTTACCTGAGAACTAAGAGTATACTGTACAAACGGCCAGATCTCCTGCTGAGCGAATTCTACACTGTGTAGATTTCAAGGGGGTGACGCCATCTTCTGTAACAGGCTCTTGTGCACTGAGCCCTATTATGGAAGTGCGCCTGTAATCGTGGATTTTCCCAACATAAAACAGATTACAAAGCACGGCCAGAGCAATTTATGCGCTTGCGAGCAACAAGGTGGCAAGTGTGTATGAGTCTCAACATCTGTTTAAAACTCCTGCTGAGGCACAGCATCTCCTATTCCATTGCTTAAGCTACCATGTCATGTATGTACTGTAGCTGCCACAGAATATTATATAATTCTGCTTACTAAGTGTTAAAGAACAAACACAGCACTTTCAGAACCAATAAATCAGTCCTGGAAAACTTCACGTCTACAAATGAGACAGTTACTAATTGCAGAAGTAAGTGGCTGAAGCTTTGCTCACTGTGTGGAAGGAGCAGAAATCACACTAGTTTTAAGTCTGCCAGTACCATCAATGTACTGTAGAGAAGAGAGATAACACCATGGTTTTGTGGTACATAGAAGAATATGAATGCTAATGATTGGCTTAAAGGTATGGTTGTGTACAACATTTCTTGTGGTCAGAGTATTAAAGGTTATTATTTCTTATGAGATTTCTTATGCTAAACCTTGTAATTCTGCACAAACTTGCTTGCATTAATCTTTGATTGGTTGGTTAAGTAACCAGATAGATAAAAGTAAATGCAGACAGAAGAAGGAGATGATAATTTTCCATACAGTGTATATTATACTTAAAACAAAACGGAACGGAAGGGGAAAAACAAAAAAAGCAATAGTTTCCATTCAGAAAGACTAACAAAGTTCTTCAAACATGCCTAGTAATTTTAATAATACATAGAATTAGCAGCAGTAGTTTAAAATACAGTAATAAGGTAATTCTCTGATACATCAATTAGCAGGCTCTGATATACAGTACAGGACACAAACACATCATAGACTCCTCAACTAAGGCAGCTACTAAAATGATCCAGCAATTGAGGCACACAGATCTGGGCAAATCACATCTAAAAGAATATCTTGGAAAAATTAAGCACTGTTGTTTATTTATAAATATATGTTTGGCTTCAGTACATAATTTAATCTGTTTTGCTACAGAGCTACAGAACACAATCTGGGTAATTTTCAAAGCAATACTAAATAACAAAAAAGAAGATTTATTTTCAAAAAGCTAATAATTGGAAAAAGGCAAATGTGTTATGTTTTATTCTGAACTGTAACGAACCTTTCAGAACGAACAAAGGTAGGAGATGTGTGTGATTCTAAAGGACCAGCAGTAAAGATAAATTACATATTAAAGAGCTACCTTCACTTCCTCATATTCATTGACAGACACTTCTGAGGTCTATAAAGACTTATGCAGTTGGATACAATAGTAGACGGCACTAAGTAAAAACATCAGCAGAAATGACAGAAAACCACATGACGGTCTAACGACGTAAAATAGACAAAAGGAGTATATATAGTAAAGCAAAACTGAATCTAGGAAACAAGAAAAAACAGGACAGAATGCTCATAGTGAAAACCAATGAGAGAGAAAGAGAAGAGCTTCCACAATATGGACAAAAAGACAAGAAACATGCAAAGAACAATGCAGATACAGTTCCAAGAACAAAGGTGCAATGGCTTTTTGCTTTGTTTTTATTCCCTCAATAAGAGATCATAAATATGTTCTAGTTACATAGTTTTTAGATGAATAACTGTAATGAAATACTTCTTTTGAGGTAATCAAGATGATGAATGGAGATATTCCTGAATACACTATAACAAGCGCAGACATAATGAAAACATATTCATAAAACTTTCAGAACCACAGTACACATATTTTTCACGATAAGAAAGGTAGACAATTGATCTGGAAAGTGCCAAGCATAATACTTACAAGAAAAATAAGGACTTTAACCCAGCAAATGTTTGCTGACTAATGCTCTTTATTGGATTATCATCAAGGATTCTGGGTTTGAAAAGAAGAAAAATTGATTAATGATTATGTCAATAAAGTGCATGGTGAACTCCAGTTCGTCACGCTTTGCAAAGTGGAAAATAAGTTCACAAAAAATAATAATTCAGTACAGACCAAACTCTTTCTTAAAATTTACTTTAACCGTGGATCAGCTGAGTCTCATTAGTTATATCTCCTACAAATCCTTTGTCTGACTAGTACAAATTGTATGTGACTAGATTTATAGTATGGGACTTGATTTATCATGATAATTTTGGATCTGCATAATGTGCACTTAATGCATATTCTTAATTTTAAAACATGCTTTAATAATGTACAATAATAATACTGACAAACAGACTTCAAGCATAGTTTTAAACTACACAGGACAAAGAATATAAAAACACTATGTTAATATTTAAAATAAATGCATACAGTATATACAAAAGTGTAAATGATTGGTGTTTTGAATTTCTACACCTTCATAGGAAGATGCACATACTGTATCCTGCTATTCTGAACAATGCCCAAGTTAAAAAAAAAATTGGAGATACTATTTCTTGCTTTGTTTTAAATCAAAGCTAAAATTATTCTAGTATTACCCAAATTATGTATCTGACAATTAAAATGTCTAGGCCTTTCCTTCCATTATGTAAAGCCTTTATATGATACATTGGCACAGTCAAACACCATGTAAGATGAAACTGCTGTTGATTCTAAACAAACAAAGAATATCAGTTAGACACTGCTGTTGTTAAGCACGCAGTGATAGTGAGAAAGCTGGGTCAATGGACGGCTTCCATTTGAGAAACACATTGTGTTCTCCTACCAACCTCACTGGAAATACACATTCATTTTAGCTTCACAGAAGAGAAAATAACTTAATCCAACCTTAAATACCAAGGCTATTAACTACCGCATTCTAAAAGCTAACACTCCCACGCCATGAGCTAATACAGTATCTTTCCTTTAGCTTCATGTACTGCCCTTACAAAAGAAAAGATAAACATATTTATAAATAGGACAATTAATCAAGCACTGAATCATTAAAGTGAAAAGTTTTCGGCTTTTATATTTGCAGTAATTATTACGGTTTAAACACTGCTGCCAAAACGGTCTCTCATTAAAAGGTTGCAAATATGTCACTTAATATAATATGCTCCAGTTTCTGTTCAGCATACTTACAGCCATTGTAATTTAGGCAGATCACTGAAAACTCCAGGCTTCAATAATGTGATGCAGTTTTGACTGAGAGACCTATAAAATAAACAGTTTTTATGTCACCAATGAATGAGCATTAAATCTTCCAAACAATGGATTAATGATCATTTGTCACCCATGAGCCTTCTGAAATAATAAGTAGTGATCCTCTGGGAAACACTAGTGTAGCTTGAGAAAGCATAGGGAGTTATTCATAAAATAGAAAACACTATGACAGTCTTCTACTTTATTAATAGACCCACTTCCGGGAAAAACGCAGATAATTACTGGCATGTCAAAGCAACTAGTAGAAGTCAACACGCAAAATAAGAGTCAACGCTTTGAAGAGTTCAAATTAGCAAGACAGAAGGTCTAAGAAAACCGAAAGTCTTATTCTAAAAGAGGAAATTGTGCAAAAGACATATATTTGTGATGTGTTCATAAAAGAGAGCAGTTGATCAGTGCTGAGAGGTTCACAATTAGCCATCTTCTCAAGGTTTGAAAAAAAAATTGATTGACATCAATTCTTAATTATCCTTTTTCATTGTAAGGACAAATAACATTTTTTGCTAGGGCTAAGTTAATTTTCTGAATTATTGATAATCAAGGTCTAAATCTAATCTAAAAACCTGTGGAAGGTTGCAGACAAAAGGGGTCATTTAGCTCCTGCAGCTTGTTTGATTGCAAGGATCTAATTGATATATGGGTTTCATTCAGGCAGTTCTTGAAATAAGCCACATTATCAGCTTCAACAGCATGGTTGTTTCTGTGCAAAGCTTGCTGTGCATAAACATAAGCCTTTGTGTAAAAAAGTGCTTAAAGATTCTCAGCGCAGAAATTAAAAATGTAAACAATTTCTTATTCCATGAAAAATAAAAGAGTTACAGACACATGGCTGTTTTATAGGAATGTTTAAGGAAGCATTTTGATAGGACAGAAGCTACATCTGGAGGTAAATAGAGGGGACATGCTCATCCATACACATTAGGAATCGCTGAATCTGAAATGGAAGATGCAGTATAAACTAGGCAACACAATGGGTAATCAATTACAAAAAATAATAAAAATGTGATTTTCAAAACCATAACACGAGGTCATAAAGGATGCCTTCTCAGGTAGCCATTATAAGCAACGAAATAATATAGAAAGGGCCAAGTCTTCCTGAAAGACTTTGAAACTGTACTGTCAATAGCTACTATTTAAAATCAGCACAAAGTATTTTATGTAAACATTAACAATGGCCTCCAATATTCAACTAGAGGCACTGGACAGTTCATCCAAAGAGAAACGAAATGAATGATTAGAAAGCAGATGCATAAATGTCCTAATAAATAAATCCAAATAAAAAATAAAGGGAAAAAGAGAGCACTTTCTAAAAAAGAGCATGGGCTCTGGTGCACAAGCAAAGAGGGATATTGGAATTGTCAAGAGACAGGAAAAAATACAAAAAAGGCTAAAATATATAACACAAACTTTCTTAGCATCGTAACAGGAAAACAACAGTTCCCTAGGTAAAGCAACATCGAGAACTGAATGCTTTGTGAATATTTGGTGAGATAGGTTTGGCTTAACCCACTTGGTTAATGGGTAGCCTCCTGGCCATTGGACGAGCAGGCTCGAACCCAATTCAATGCAGACTGAACCAGAGGGAAGCAGTGAGGTGGAGATGGGGTGGAGGAGGAAAGTTGAGGAGATGAATGCAAAGGGTTTGAGTTTAATAAACAGTGTATAGAGCTAATTTCTGTAATGATGGTGATTAGGAACAGCTGTTTGAGATTGACTTGATGTTGCTATCGCCCCAAACTTCAATTAATTACTTCCATTAAACGGATTGTCAAAGATAAAAAACTTGATTTTTTAAGATAACAAGAAAATATTGGAAGTATTAAGTTAATATCTTGCTCAGGCATTCATCAAGAAATACATCAACACAATGCGTAAGATTGTGGAAGTTCTCTAACACTGTCATAGAAGAGGTGGAATTGTTAAAAAGATGTAAGACAAATTTCCAGGAGCTCCAGTGGCCACAAAGGAAATCTAAAAAGATTTAGAATACTTAATTTCATAACCTAATAAACAGTTAGGTGGTGATATTTAATGTACATGTGCAAAATGTTACATGAAAGATATGTATAAGATAAGATACGTATAGATATGTAAGATATAGATATGTATAACTACATAAATGTGTATAAATATAAAATGACAATACTGTACGTACAGTAGGTGTAATGTGATACACTACCAAGGAACTATTGTATACAGTGTGATTTTGCAAACGCTGTAACTGTACAATTCCATGAGGATCTCTTTTTGTCTCCGTTCAGCTGATCATAAAGATTTTAAAGCTTTTCCATCTGTTTAGCTGAAGCCTTTGTCTTATATTATGATAAAAAACAGAGGAACAACGACTTTGTTCTGTAGTTTAAAATCTGACAAAATTAAGATAAAATATTTGATAAATCCCCTTCAATAGAACCTTAAATATCTCAAAGTTGATTTGTACGTACTGTACTATAACTCACAGAAATAAAATTTAATTCCAAATGTCACTACAGTGCTTTGCTGACACAACATTAAATAACTGTACCATTGATAAACTAAAATGTCCTGAAAGACACAAAAATATCAATTCCAAATGAAATAAACAAAAACTTTTCCAAACGATAAGCCTAAACTGTTACTTCCAGGAGATGTTTTATGTACAGTAACTACTCTACACAAATTTTGTATGAACAAGTATGTGTTTTCATGGTATTGCTTTTTCTCACAATAGTGCACCTGCCATGTAAATAAACCCTGTTCATGAAGTAGAAAACTTTGAGACAGTAATAGCTTTAGCCACCCAGGTAGAACAGATAGTAAGTTTTATGAATAACACCCACAGCATAAACATCATCAGGTGAAACAATGTACTAAATTGCTGAACTATAAATAATAAAAATACTGAATTTTACTCAGTCACAAAATGTCAGAAATATATTAATTAAATCATGTATATAATTCATATAATTTCTACAGTGCACCTCTAGATGTTCTATACTGTAAATACAAACATTGTAAAGACAAAACAGATAAGCAAACAGAAAAACAGATTTAATAGAAATAGGTTTTAAGTAGGTACTGTAGGTTGCAGTGTACAAATAAAGGACTGAAAAGGAAATGTTTTTACGTTGTACACAGATTTTATTTCTTTTAAAATAACTTGCTCCAGGATGTTTCAAAGCCAAGCCCTTCTGCAGTTTAGAAATAAATTCAACAGTACAGCAGCAAACATGTACCAACAATAACAAGGTTACTGGAATCAGTTTATATTTATTAAATATTTTCCAGAAAATGTAAAGCAGAACTTTTGCTTGAAATGTCAAGAAACACTCATTTAAACCTACTCAATTAAACAACAGGAAAAACTACAGTATACCCATTTTCAGAGATATGCAAAAGAGATAGAAGCTTCCTTTCCAGTTTAATTTGATTTCTTCCACATCTGTCAGGAAAACATAACTTGGAAAATATGCGTTTTGTGGATGTGGAGGTTTGGACTTTCTTCTAAAGTATTATGATAATGGCTGGTTTACAGTTGTTGATACCAATTCAACTTTTTAATCATCCAGCTAGCTTCTGGGTTTTTAACACTGGGCTTTTCCAAATTCAGTATTATTTACCAGATGCTATGACCACTTTATTACACCTATAAAGAATAGTTGCAGTTTAATAACTTTTCTATTTTGCACCAAGATATTTCAGGGATAAAAATGTTACTATACAAAAGAAAAAAAAAGAAAAATATGTGTACTGAAGGACTAAGTATTTTCTTTTTTGGGAGACACATCAATATGAAAATGAAAAAAAACTAGATACTGTACAGTTTTGGGTGACAATAATGCTCTTATATATTGCAAAATAAATTATACTGATAACCTTTCTTTTCCAATTGTTTTTGAATTTTCTGAAAACTGTAAGGCAAGAAAGTGATTTGTTTTTCAGTTTCTTACAATGACAGAAATGAGAAAAGAAAACACAATCTGTTTTGGTATTTCATTGTTCAAAATTAAAAAATGCAGAAAAACTCAATTCAATGTTTTAACTAAATTATAGAAACAAATAATCCTCAGTTTGGTAAGACTATTTAAAATATTCAGACATACAGTAAATGGGAAGCATCTTTCCAAAATGCTGCAAACAGATTTAAAAATATTGTATCTTTATTATCACAAAACACAAAAGTGACATTTATACTATTCCTGTATTTGTGTAATTTGATTATTAATAGGTTATACATTGTGAAAGATTCTAAAAATTATTTCCCTAAATTTATTTGGGTTTCAGTTTGGTTTAAAAATAAAGAAGGTTTTAGTTTAATAGCTGAAACTTTAAGAATAATTTAATTTTATACATGTTTCCCAAACATAAACATTAGGAAATATACAATAATACATATTTAGCTTTAAGACATATTTTTAAATTGCATATATTGGTAAATTGTATTGTTATCGAATAAAATATTTATTAGGTAATCAAACAAACCTTTTCTTTCTTTGGGTAATAGATAATTTTTCTTCTTCCTTTTTAAGGACTGTAAAATTATTTCACATTAAGTTTTTTTTTGTGAAATTTAATGCACACAAGATAATGTTCACTTAGTACTTGAGGATACATTTAATAGAATGTTATTTGAAGCTTCTCAAGGGAAAAGTTACAAATTAATAGGAATGTTATATCTTCTAATTTATTCAACATAAATGTAGGTATAATACAACTAAATTGACCTACTGGATGAATGAGGTGTTTATAAACACTTATTTTTCAACATGCTTCCTTGATGTGTTCTTTTGCCAGTTAAAATAATTAACTCTCCTGAGGTTTAGTTTCCAAACTAAATTACATGTACATTAAAAATTGCAAATATGATTAATAGCTTTGTGGGAAATAATATCAGGTACTTCTCGAGAAATCCCTTCTCTTTAGGAAGTACAATCATTTCAAAACTTGATACATATCTTTGCAATTCTATGTCTGTATCTACAGTGTAAGACCTACAAGGGTATTTGGTACAATTTGTTACAAACAATAACCCCTTGCATTTGGAGAGAAATGCATAGCAAAATGGTTTTTATTCTGCAAACATACTACCATTACTCATTTTTGGAGGAAAAATATTAAACTGAAGCTTTACTCACAGTTTTCGAAGCTTATACAGCCCACTAAATGCTCTGCTTGATACTGATCTGATGCAGTTATTTTGAAGGAATCTGTTCAAAGGGAAAAACATAATGATTACATTCAGTAATTAATCTAATGCTATTCATTGCAGGCAGATATTAATTAATCACACTCTAATTTTTATATGTTCATCAATATTTGTCTAGATTTAATTGCATTGTTCCTTCAGCTGTTCTACAGCTTTGTTAAAATTTGAGTTAAACTGTTCAACTGAGTTTCTGCCCCAGAGAATTGAAGTTGCTATGATGAAAAATGCTGGGCTAACTCTCATGCTCCAAAAAAAGTTTTTAATAATTAATAAGAGGCACTCCTAACGTACTGTCTGCATAAATTAAGTGTTAATATTGTTGCCATGCTCTGTACCAATATCTGCTTAACAAATCACCTTTTTTCTTCTATTTTCATTAGACCTGTTTCTAATTATAACCTAACTAGAGATGTACTGTAAGTGTGAATCTAGGACTGACTAACATTGAATATTGGACTCAATCTGGGTAACACAACAGTTCAACGATTCAAGATGGTAGACCACACCTGAGAAAACTACAGGGAGCACAATAAAACACTTCTGCAGGTGGTAACAGTTTTCAGGTGACTAGTCTGAGATTCACTTTTAGATTACAATCGCAAGTTATTTTTTAATATGCCAGCTCTTCACAGAAGACACCCAATCTAGAAACAAACACAGGTCAAGAAGCTGTGAGACAGCAATTCTATGACTTCAATTGCACTGTGTCACTATGCAGTTTGTAACATAAACATCATGAGGTATGAAGTATACTGTATAACTACAACAATGTATGGAAAATATGTATCACACATTTACGTTCTTGTATTATTCAGATGTACATGTTTGTTCTACACAGGTTTAATTAAAAAAGTAATTAGCTATATTGCCATTGACATTTTCCAGTGTCATTGTATTGCACTGAAATAAAATGTTAACGAACACAATTATCTTGTTTTGCATAAGAAGAAAAGGCCAAGCCTGTTCACTTTTTTTTCTCCCAACAGAGGGTATATTCAGAATTCTTTAATAAAGAAATACTTGATCCAAACAACATAAATGTACATAAACAGCTCTTTAAATAACATATGAGGTTTATTTGATCTAAAGCTTTGACAATAAAAATGTCTGCTTTTCATTTATATTTTAAAATAAGGTAGAAATGCAAGACTAACCATTCTCTTTAATTCCCCAAGGTGAGCACAACAAAAGTGGGCATTTTGATAATAATATGAAATTATATGAATTCACAGCCAAAAAAAGAATGTCATCAAGGGAGTGTTAAAAATGAGACTGGATAATTCTGACATTTCTCAGTGACATACTGTAAGTAGGACATACTGTAACAAGAGGAATAAAAAAGCAAGGATTTTGATGTTTCAGCCACACAAAGCCTCTGATACAGGCCATTTATTTGTGAAAATCGGCTGACTTCTCTTGCCCTGATTTTTAATGCAGACTACTCAGGTAACGTTTACAATACTGATCAAGTGATGCACACACGTTTTCGATTTGGGAGAAACAACTATTTGCGTTGCACTAATGAGAATTGAGAAATAAATTGTTATTCTAATTTATAGAAATGTAAATTAACCTAAACAATGAGCACACAATGGCACCGCAGTATAATGTAGCAATAAGATGGAGCTTATCAAACCCATGCTTGCTTTGTGCATTTTTCCATCATGAATTACTTTCCTAGTCTGTAATGTACTCTCCAAAAGTGATTAACTGTTCCACAGATATTTCCATAGAGAAACAAAGCTTTTCTTTTGCAAGCATGTTTTTGGCTTATGTTTTTTTCAAGGGGTATCTCCATGGAGTTGTGAAATAGCCTGCTTTCCATTTCTACAGTTCAGGATCCTGAAGATGGTTCCTAAAGGAGAAACTCAACCATGTGGATACTTTTTTAATGGTTTGCTAGAAAGCACAAAATCACTCACAGTTGTGCTTACCATTGCACAATTAAAACAAAACAGAGTTGTGTAATACATCATGTACTGCATGCTAATGCATACTAATACTGCTAAATAGTTAAGAAACAATATTGCTTTCATTTTATACACAGCCTCTGGCATTTTACCAGAACAGATGAATGTTAAAAGAAAACGTGATGTAATTTTTGCTCTCACAGTTTATAAGGCTATTGACATTTAACTGTACTACAGTACATGCACCAGTCATGGTCCCACAAATAGTGTGAAACTTAAAAAACCATGCAGCTCCTCCAGTATAATTTTCCAGTTAGTTTCCCAGTAAAGTATGTGATAAAGCACTCTTCTGAAATGACAGAATGCTTGTTCTTCGCAATAGATCTATTCCTACTTTATATCAGTGACAATAAAACACACTATATAGCTGTCTATGATCAGATACTGTAAGACCTCACAAAATACAGTAACTCACTGTCCTTTCATAGTTTTTCTATCCAGGGAGGACTTTTCTATCAACTGTAGTAACCTACTATTCTCTCACACTCTAGATGTCGGAACTCACACACAATGATATGGTGCTCCAGCAGGAAATACGTGTTACAGCAAAAAAGACAGATTAGCACTTGTCTCTGTGCCAGTGTTCAAACAAAGAAAATGGTGAAGTTCCATTCAGTACCCTAGAGAGGTACTACCTCGAGCTAGGATAAGTACTTAACTCAAGTTTCTTCAGGTGTGGGTTCACTTCAGGTGGAGCCAACTATGAGTTGGGAGCTCAATTTTGGGTGGATATTCCTGTGCTGAACTTGCATCTTCTTCTCTCAATTCACTTTACTATAAGCAGGATGGGTTCTGGCCTGATGAGTCACTGTGCCCTGGTATGATCTTTACCTTTTCCTTTATACCATACTCCCTCACAGACAACATCCCATGAGTATCATCCCAAACACATACATTAAAGTAGAAATTCAGGAAATGAATCAAATACTTACACAGAATTATTCAAGAGAATTTTAAAAAGGCACAAATCATATATGCTGTACAATTGAAAGTATATGGATAACATGCTTCTACTCTCAATCTTGCATCTTCACTGTAATGATACTCACAGTTTCTGTAGCTCTGAGTACTTTGAAAAAACATCTTCAGGAAGCTTTTCTATTTCATTGCCATTGAGGGACCTGTTTAAAAATAACATAACAGACCAAAGGTCAAGTTACAGCATATTGTATCAGTTCAGAAAGGATTCACTTCTTAATGCTTCGAACATAGCAATGTTTTGTCAATGCTAGAATTTCACTGCAATTATGTAAATTTGTTACATGTGGGTGGTGATGTTATCAGAGATCATGGTGCCTGCTTCAATGTACAAAAAGCACATGAAAACGAGGCCACCTTTTTTCAATTGAGAATTGTTTCTCTTACTTTGCACCAAATAAAAAAAGTGACGAATTTCTGAATTTCTCTGAAGTCCTTCCAAGGCCAAATCTAATAAAAACCATTCAAAATCACATTGTATTGGATGTTTGGTCTGAAGAGGTTTATTTGTCTGGCACAGAAAGGTACAGATGAGGGAGAAAATACTTAAAATCTATCAAAAAATAATTATAAAATGAAAATAATCTACAGTACTTACAGAACAGTCACATTTGTTGAAACCAGTGGCACAGAATTTAAATTTTCTTGCACGCATTTCACCTCTGTTTCTATGCATTCACAGCAATCAGGATATTCTTGTAGAACTGAAAAAAAGGTTTGTTACAAAGATAAAATGACTAAGCACACAAAATTTATACTCAAACAGAACAGTGGTTTGATACACAAAAGTGTTAAACTTCCTAGAACTGCCAGTTTCTGCAGTCTTTCAGTCTGCATGTTTTCAACACCCAAAACACCCCCTCTGACATAGAGCTCTGTGCATTGTAAAATTTATGGCAATGATTGCTTTCACAGGGAGAACATTAAAAGCATTGAAACATAGCTTTGGCACAAAGCTAAACAAGTTACGTTTGTGAAAACTTTGAATACTTACCCAAAAATATAAAGCACAGAAAAACAAGGTCAACACAACTAGACTCACAGATGGAAAAAAAAGGTTGTTAGTAATACCCTATATTATTCAGTAATGTCACTGAACTCTTTTGCCAAATTTCAGGATTGTCAAAGTTTACTTTATATGAGCTGTCTACACTATAATATTCCATATGTGTGCAAGTATGAGAGCTGGATCGTCATGCAGAACGTATTTCTTATTGACATCAAAAGGAATACTTTAGAACTTAATGGATGTCTTGTGCCTATTATTGTGTTCTAAAATATAAATACACTGTCATAACAAGACACATAGGGAAAGAGGATTTTGGATGCTATCTCCACAATGTCTTGTGTGTAACTAAGAAACATCAACAACAAAGTTAGATAACCATGTAGTCATCTTGGGTTAAGACCGTCACCACCATCAACTCTAAAGCTAAACCAGTGGCAGATACAGAGATGCCAGTCTTCTGGTTTTCTGCAAAGAATTTTTCCTTTCAGGTGGTCTTTTTCTATGAGCATACTACATATTTGAAAATTTGATTTTTTTCTATATGAAAATACCCCCCCTCCCCATCTGAATGAAAATTAAATTATTTAAACATATAGTTTAGTCTTGAGGCTCCTCCCATGAGAGAACTAATTAATGATTTATTATTTGTTGACAGAGGGCAGGGATCCTCAATCCTGGTCCTAGAGAACCTCACAATCTAGTTAGTTTTACAGGCCACCCATTTTTAAAGATTAACCACACCTGTAAACTGTTGATAAATCTGTTCAATTAAGATAATTAAGAGGATTCTATTTTAATCCTTACTGATCTCTAAATTACTTAACAAAGTAACCTGTGTAATTGATTTCAAATCCCACCTACCGTATAAATCTAAAAGTTTAGTTACTGTACTTTAAAATACAGCACTTACTGCATAGTTGGATCTCAGTACAGGATCATCATAGTTTTTGATAATGATGGAAAAACATTTGAGTGGAAAGAATTGAGTGTAAAAGGTCACAGGGTTTGGCAGAGCTGTGTACCTGTGTATATGTGCAAGCACAAAAGCTACACATTCATGTTTTATTACCGAAAAGCTACAGTATATGTGTGAATGAAGTTAAAATGTAATCCAATTTCTGAGGATTTGTTTCACATCTACAGTGCCTTGCGAAAGTATTCGGCCCCCTTGAACTTTTCAACCTTTTGCCACATTTCAGGCTTCAAACATAAA